CCCACCAACTTTCTTTCTTTCTTTTCTTTTCCTTTTCTTTTTCGTGTGTAGTTTTTCTGTATTTGTTGGGGGATCCTTTGTTTTATAGATATATAGATATATAGATATATATATCTATATTAACATAGATAAATAAATAGATAAATATCATCTTCTTTCTTTTCCTTTTATCTTCTTTTTACCTATATATATATATATACTGCTTATCCTCCTTTTCTTTTCTTTTCTTTTCACTCTTCCTTGTTGTTGAACTTCTCATCATCAAAGGCGCCGAGGAAGTCGCACACATCGTCGTCGTCTGTTATCACCAATCCACCATTCGCCGGCGGTGTTCCGCAGTCCTCGGCGGTTTGAAAGGCAACAGGCCCGCGGCCAAAGAGCGGCGACGGCAAAGAAAAAGGATCCGCATGCATTTCAGCAGTGTTGTTGGAATTGTTGTTGTCGTTATTATTAGGATGACTGTTACTATTACTACTACTACTATTATTATTATTAGTATTATTAGTAGTATTAGTAATAGTAGTGGTATCGCTGAGGGGTTCATTCATCTCAGCTGCATTGGCGGTGCTCAGTTGACCCAGCAGGCGAAGAACCGTGTCATCAAATTCCCCAATCATATTAAATCCATCTCCTTGTGTATACAAGAGAGAAGTTGTGGTTTCTGCTGATAATGGATTATCACATCCTCCTGTAAGAGTAGTATTATTAGTAGTAGTGTTGAGAGTAGATTCAGCTGAAGTAGTAGTAGTAGTGGTATGATCATTATTATGATTATTATTATTATTATTATTGGGATGACTGATGTTGCTCTGGCTGTTCTCACTCACACCATTCTCATTAATCCGCTGAACAGAGACGGCCTGATGGGCTCGTTTGCCTGGGAGAACTCCAATGCGAAAGACAACTCTATCCCCAATGGAAAGTGCACGGAATCCCTGCATTTGAATATACGACTGATGAACAAAGATATCCCCAAGAGATACCGGTGTACGGACCACACGTGCCACCATATTATTATTATTATTATTATTATTATTATTATTATTATTATTAT